GAGATTGGCAAGTCTGGCTTTTTTTTTTTTTTTTTTTTTTTGCATGCTCTCTTTCCTGGGCCCTAGTATCTGAACTGGGAACACATCTCCAGTGAAAGGAACAGAGAGTAATTTTTCAGTATATTTAGTGTAAGAATGCAAACAAGCAAAAGTTAATTGGTGGCACTATGATGTGACTACTGTCATTAGGAGAAAAACCAACCATCAGAAACTATTCCATGAGAATGTCCTGACCACAGGTAAGTCAGAAGGGAGATGAATCAGTCCTTGACACAGCCCAGGAAAAGTTGTCCATTGCCTTCTAACCATCCTCTACTCAAGCTGTTGTGTCTTTTTAGGCTTATATTTTCAGAAATACCTTCCTGGTCACCTTTTAAAATCCAAGACAGTAGTATATGACAGCTTCCAATTAAAAGCATTCATAATTTATTTTCCTTTTTTAAAAATAAATCTCATTGGAAAAACAATTAACAACAGCTGACTTTGCAGGGTTGTAAAGTAGAAAACAGTCACTTAATACCATTGTTATATTTTCCCCTTTCTCAAAAAACTCCTTATGAAATAAAAGTATAAAGAAGTTTTAATTCACCAGAGCCCATCACTGGAGAGCTCTCTCTCCAGTTGATTTTCTATAACATTTTTATTACTTTTATAATCAAAAGGAAAATATTTGAAGTAAAGTTTCTATCTAAGTGAAAACTGAAAATTTCTGTCTGTTACAACATCCCATGTGAGAAAAGGACACTGGTGGCCCTGACTGGCTCTGGTCTAAGCAAGTCATTGCCTTGGGTAAATAAGTCAATTCTCTGAGTAGCCTGTCAAATGTGGACATAGATGATCTTAAGTACAAAGGGTCTTTCTTCCCGACTCCAACAGCCTATGATTATGAGACACCAGGTTTCAAAACTTTCCACAGGTCATTCTAGACTGATGACTGTGGCAGCCTGGTTTTTCAATCTCTCCAAATTCCCACATCAAAACTGACAGAGCACCTACATAGCACAACCAACCACTTAAAAACAAGGTCCCCCTTAAGCAACAGAACACAAGCAGGCAGAGACACCACCATTCACAAGACCTGAGTGGTGTCTGTGTGGGCAGAAGCTGATGAAAGTCTGAGAACTGGAAGAGCCCAAAATAACCAACTCAGCATACACAATTGAGGGGGCCAATTGGAGAACAGCGGGCCAATTGGAGAACAGTGGCTAAAGCCAGGAGGAGCTTTTGCCTAAACCTAGAGTGAGTGAGTAAGGGACCCACAGTAAGATCTGCAGGGGCTAAAGCAGTTGATCTGAAAGGGCTAAACTTTCAAGTTGTCCTCTGCAAACTTTCAAGACTGATCCCAGGCTTCCTCTCCAGGAGGAAAAACTGCAGGGAGTGGATCAAAATCTAACAGAATGGGGGTAATGGAGGCAAAGGAAAGAACAGATCCAGGTAGAAGTAGGTAAGGGGAACAGAGCCAGGAAGTATCATTAGAAAGCAGGCTGCCACATTGTGGATTACATGACAGCAGAAGACTTAGCTCTATGGACTAAAGAAAAAAAAAAAAGCCATAATAAATCCTGCCTCCTAAAAGTTCAAGGAAGCTATTTTTTCACATAAAAATGAAACACAAAAGTACTGAGGTCAAATTCCATACAAAGGTTATAAGAAAGAAGAAGAGGGGGGAAAAAAAGAGCAGAATAACATCCCTATAAACCATGAAAACATGCCACAAAATAGATGAGAGGAGAAAAAGCCCAATATAATAGCATAGTATTTCAAAATAAGTTAAGAGACTTTCAGGAAATAAAATTACACAAGACACAAAAGAACATAATTCAAAATCAGAAAAACTCAGAAGATAATAGAACACAGAAAAAACAGAAATGAGAAAAAATGCATTTGAGAAATAAAGACTAAACTAGGAGAAACACACGTGGGAATAAACAATATATAATACCCCAAGAGAAAGAGAAGGTGGAGAATAGGAAGAACAAAGTAAAAAGAGAGAAAGATATAAAGGATTTGACAGATACTTAACACAGGCAAAGAAAACCTCACATACAAATAATAAGCATCCTTGAAGAATGAAAAATCAAAATAAGGGAACTGAACTAATATTAAACATTAAAAAAAATTTTTTTAAAACCTTACCAGATATTAAAAACATTTATTTTAAAATATAATCAAAATAATGCACAGCAAACCTGAGAATATCTAACCAGAATGATTAAGGTTACGAATTGCTCTAGTAAAATTACTGGACTTAAGTAAAAAGAAATGAAAGAAAATGCTATGGACATCTAGAATAAGTAAATGTCTTGTGAGGGAAAAGAAAGTTGTATTATAATTATCGACTTTGAGAGCAATGCTGTCTGCCAAAAGAGAATTAAAAAAACATATTCAAGTAAAGAAAAGATGAGCCAAGGGCTTTCTATCCAGCAAAAATGCCTTTCAAGTATGAAGGGCACCGACACACTGTTATTAGCAAGCAAGGACTCGGAGAAGATTATTTTAATGAGTCCTCCCCGAGGAATCTAAAAGCAGAGGAGTGACACCGACCTGGTCAACATGAAACTTATAGTTCCTTTTTGAGGACTGGGAGGGAGGGAGGACAGGCTGCAATGGCCATCGTCAGGAGTGTGGATGTAGTACGATGGCAAAATATTGGGGAAATGAGGAGAGCATATTGACAACATTTTAAAAAATACTTCTCAGTAATTATATTTTTTATGGGCATGCTAATATTATCCTGAGCCTGTTTGTATATAATATGGAATAAAACAAATAAGTAATTATGAAATATTCTAATTCAGTCATCCTCTGTAACTTTAAGATCCAGAATTCCAAGTATGAAAAGAAAGAAAGATAAAATACAGAAGAAGCTAAGTAAAAGTACTCTGTAGTCTTCTTTGAATAACTCAGCAAGGTCAATGGTTCAGGGCTGGTGTGGAGCTGCCTGATTCTCAATGAAAGAAGTAAGGGTAAGGCAGAACTAAATTAACTTTTACCTTTGGAAAATATGGAAGTTGAATAGGGCAATTCAATTTTTTCCAATTTGAATAGGAGCAATTAGCATAACTCCTATGGTATTTTATCTTAAAATTTATTTATATATATAAAATTTACATATATATAAATTTTAAGATAAAATACCATAGGAGTTATGCTAATATATATATTTTATAAAATTTCTATTATATAATTTCCTGGTTGTCTGTAAAAACAAGAATTAATCTAGAAGCAATAAACACCCTTAGCACCCACATTGTGGTCTTAAAATACCATTTTCCTTGAGTGAAATGAGGGCTACTTGGAGAATGGTTTATTCCAAGTTTGGGGCAAAAAATGTACGAGGTGAACCTGGAACAACTATTAGGCTCATGTCAAAAGACTCTGAAACCAAGTTGAAGAAGTTCTTACTGTAATTTGAGTTTCTGCAAGGAAAATAATTATAATGAGTTGAAACCCAAATATGTTTAAATCTATAAATTCATAACAATATTTGAAAAAATAATTAGGTACTTTCAGTAAATTATAGTTAATTAATTCATTACCTTGAAAAATGTTAAGTAAATTAAAAGAATAAAGCATTAATTCTGCTTTTCCTCTATGAACTATATCATTGTTTCAATAAATCATACATGATGGACAATGTCTCTTGAAAGCAGTTAATAAATAAGAAAGAATAACTAAAAAAGAAATGGTCAGAACTAAAATATAATGATTTATAAATCCTCATGAATCAATGAACTTAGGCACTGAGTGTGAATAGCTGCTAACATTACTGAAAGCAAGACAACCAGACATTATATGCTGCCCAGTGAAAAAACAAGTGCCCTCTAAAGCCATGCCAAGGATCTGGACATGATCTGACTGAGCCTCTGCAGCCAGCTAATTTTCAGGAGAAACAGGGGACAGAGGCACGTGTGGGGCTGCACTGAGTGTGCAATCATCAGCATCCAGATTGTGGGGAACTACAGGTCAAGTGGCTGGGTTTTAACAGACTAATTATAAGGCAAACAAAGAATAGAGGAAAAACCTGAAGATGAAGAGATTCAATGGAAACAGTTTTTAAATGGATTAAGACTAAACTCTGTCTACAGACTTTAGTGGAAAACTGTCAAGAAACAGAAAATCTATAAAAATAAAAGGGTAATATACTAATTAGACCGGATGTCTTCCACACGTCATTCCGGACGTCCTTCCTGATGAAGCCAGGGCCGGAGGGAACCAGCCTGGGTCCCGGGTGCCTGCGGGTGGCCTGAGGGAAGCCAGTCTGGGTCCTGGGTGCCTGTGGCTGGCCAGAGGGAAGCCAGCCTGGGTCCCAGGTGCCTGATGACGGCTGGAGGAGGGAAACCCGGGCCCCACGTGCCAGAGGGAAGCCACTGCTGGTGCCAGTAGCCTGGGACACAGGTGCCAGGGGGAAGCCAGTGCTGGCAGCTGGGGGAAGGAAGGCCTACTCTTGCATGAATTTTTGTGCATTAGGCCTCTAGTATGATTATAAAAAGTCATGGTAGGAGTCACCTTGGTGGGAGGGAAAGTGGAATTGGATGACTGGCAAGTGCTATTTCTTGGCCTGGACAGTGGTTATGAGAATGTTTGCTCATCCTGTAAAACAAAAGGCTAATATACAAATCGACCGAACAGTGGAACGACCAGTCACTATGATGTGTACTGACTACCAGGGGGCAAATGCTCAATGCAGGAGCTGCCCCCCTGGTGGTCAGTGCGCTCCCACAGGGGGAGCGCCACTCAGCCAGAAGCTGGGTTTACAGCTGGCGAGTGCAGCAGTGGTGGCGGGATCCTCTCCCACCTCCACAGCAGCACTAAGCCAGCAGCCGGACATCCCCTGAGGGCTCCCAGACGGTGGGAGGGCGCAGGCTGGGCTGAGGGACCTCCCTGAGTGCATGAATTTTGTGCACTGGGCCTCTAGTTAACCTATAATTTGTTTTGTGGGAATGTCTGTATCTACATTTTATCCCACAATAAAAAGAGTTAAAAGTCCGGTCCCTTACCTGTGCCTTGGCCAGTTTCTTTTCCAGAAGGTCCCGTTCCCGCTCTGTTTGCTGCAGCCGTTTATTAAGCTCCACTATGTCTCCCTTGAGTGATGCCAGGGCTGCCAAGTGGAGCTGCAGCGACAGAAAGAAAGAAGCACGAGGTTAGAGCCTTCAGCAGAAACTCATTTCCTTCCTTTCCTTCCCTGTAATTAGTGTGATCAGATACTAGTAAAAAATGTTTCATCTCCAACGGGGTGCTTCGGGGCTTATTAATCTCAGGGGACACCAGACATAAATCAGATGTCTTACAGGAAGCTGGGCTGTGTGACCGCCCTAAATGTATCGATAACAGGAGAAAACTGTTGTACGTGGGCAGTGAGACCTAATTTTGGAAGGTCCAATCAGGATGGAGAGCAAAGCTTCTCATTCTAGGGGCTTCCCCTGAGTTCCTCAGCAAGGATGATATTAAGAGCTGGTGTGGGCTCTTAAACCGGTTTGGCTCAGTGGTAGAGCGTCGGTCTGCAGACTGAAAGGTCCCGGGTTCGATTCCGGTCAGGGGCATGTACGTTGGTTGAGGGCACATCCCCAGTAGGGGGTGTGCAAGAGGCAGCTGGTCAATGTTTCTCTCTCATCGACGTTTCTAGCTCTCTGTCTCTCTCCCTTCCTCTCTATAAAAATCAATGAAATGTATTTAAAAAAAAAAAAAAAGAGCTGGTGTGGGGCTGCCTGATTTTCAACATGAGAAGGATAAGGCGGAACAGAATTAGCTTCTACTTTTGGAAAAAATATGCATGCTAAGTTGGGCAATTCAAATGTTTGTTGCAACCCAATCACCCACATTGCTCTGCAAACAACAGATAGACCAAAGGGCTGAGTTTAAAAAAAAAAAGTAATTTAATTTAATTTTTTCCATCACCATTATACCCTCTATGCCCTCTTCCACCTCCTCCCCTCCCTCCCTCCCCTGGGGCTGAGTTTTAATTAAAAAAAAATGGGAGAGCTCATTTCTTCAGATGGCCTCCTCCTACAGTTGCCTGTTGGCTTTTTTGCCAGCTCATTCCTCCTCCGTGCCCCCCAGCTGGACTAGACTGACCAGATGCTTTTGCACTGGCAGGTCCTCTCAGAGGAGCAGCAACCAGACTCTGATAAATTATGCTGTGAGCAGGCCAACCAAGAATCCATCCAGATACCTTTCACTGGCCAATTCTTTCAGGTTAACCAGAGCCAGAAAGAATATCCTTCGCCAGAGGAACAAGCGGCACCGAGCACTGCCAGGATCTCAGGTGCTTGACGTTCAAGTTCTGAACACCCAGCTCCAGCTGCAGGTGCACCTGCCACGCACCTGCCTGCTCGGGCTTCCGGGGCCAATGGACGGGACCAGCCCTGAGATCCATTCCAAACACTAATCCCAGAGCAATGCCACCTTTCAACCTTTGCCGAGTCCCCACTTCTCATCTGTCTTCATCAATTCCAGGTGGAGTTCAGCCCATTCCCTAAATCAGTTCCATGTTACAGTTGGGTGACTGACTAGAATCAACAAACCCTCCCTCTTTAGATTTTTTTTTTTTTGTGTGTGTGTGTGTGTGTTTGTGTGTGTGTTTTGTAGTTTTGCCAACAGGGACTTAAAATAAGGAGTGAACAAATAAATGTGATCTTTAAAAATGGACGCAGTACAACAGTACATAGTTCAACTCTGAAGATTTTAATTTCAGGTTTAGTAAAATGCCCTTTTCTGCAGCCAGCACCATCTACACTGCAAGCTGTTGGCTGGCGGGCTTTGGGGAGGGGGTGGTGTTATGAGAGAGGGAGAAGGAAATACAGGGCAGACACTGGAACTTCAAAACAGTAGTTTCTGTTAGACTGTAACAGCAATGAAAGTGACTTCACCTAATTGCATCGGGGCTGCAAACCAATAGATCAATAGCCGACGTGAAATCAGGAATGTTTGAAGTTAAAGAAGGAAATGTCAGGCCATCTGGCGGTATTTGCCTTCTCATGGAGGGCTAGGACCGCTCCGAAAGGTCACTGAGGGTTTCACACACGAGGTTCTGTCTGATGAATTCTCAGCACAAATGCCACAGTGTTCCCATTGTGCAATCTTTCTGAGGCTGTTCTGCTTCCCGTACGATGGAGTAGAACACAATCCACTCCCTTTGCAACTGGGGCGACCCTCCGCCTATGAACTGCCAATCTGAGGATTTTCCTTTGGCGTCAGACACTGCACCCCGGTGCTGTTATGCCAGGTCTTGGGAGAAGGTTTTCCACATCACTTCTGGCGAGAAGGATAAACTACACGGAGAGCTGAGATGTTCTTTCAGAAATAAAGGAGTGGGAACGAGGACCTGGACTGTGTCAGCCTTTTCCTCCTTTAAAACATCTCTCTGACTTCTGGGGAAGGGTTGCAGGAAGGGGCTGGGGGAGGATTAGGGGAAAAAGATGCCAGAGGAGGCTGCTGTATACGCCTTTGTGAACTGGGCCAGATGGGGAGACACTGGAGGAGCTATTTCCATCACAGTGCACAGCAGAGGGCACCCAGGATGGGTCGCTGCCATGGAGGAGAGAGAGCACTGCTCTCCAGATTGGCAGGAAGAACCATAGGATGAGCATTTGGGGCAGGTCCCTTCACTTCCCTGATGGAAGGGGCCTGTCCACAGATTGAGAGTAGACTAGTGGTTCCTCACCTTCCTCAGGTCACAGATTCCTTAAAAATCTCATAAATGGGACGGACCTTTCTTCTACAAGAGTAAAAATTGGGGGTTCATGCATGTGTTCCACCTAATTATGGTGATAACACACTCTGGAAATATTCATGGACCCCAAATTAAGAAACATCTGGATTTGATGCCAGCTCCGCGATCCCACATTAAGTGTTTTTATATGCCATAGACGGTCTCATATGCCATAACATCAACGTCTAGTGAGGAAAAGGCCTTGGTACTTGACCTCTCCCACTTCCACATCTGCAGGCGAGTGTCTGAAACCCAGAGGTAACTAGCTTCCTCAAGGTCCCAGGGATAAGTTAACATCAGAACCAAGGCCACCAGTGCCCTTTCCTCACTATATGATGTAAAAGTAATTTTCTGTGAGAATAAAATTTTTACTTTAAATATGTCCCTCTAATTATTAAAAATATGAAAATGTAATAAAAAAATAAACCAGAAAGATGACACCCTAATGTTTAGTGGTGGCCTCTGGGTAGTTTCAAACTATTTTTGGATACTTAATTATTTTCAAAAGAGAAAGAGGCTTTTGTATTAAACAAAAAGGTTGTGATTGTGTTTTTTCTGCACATACAAGCTGTAGCGGAAAAATTGAAAAGGGTTATGTTCCTTCCTTGCTGTATCTTCCTCCCCACCCACCAGCTTTTCTGATAGAAGTTAAAACTTTAAAAATGAGGTAGAATACACACATGTCCCTAATGTTACTGACAATTACTCAACAGAAACCATAACTACAGAGGATGGGAAAGAGAGGGGGGGGAGGAGAGAAGTTGGCTCAGCAGTCACAAGACCTGTTGCTTGGAATCGAGCTGACAGGCCCCTCCTTTACCACCTGGTGAGTGGACACAGATAAGTTCCCACCACAAGGTTGCTCCCCACTCCCTGTGAATCCCAGGTCAGCAGCTCTCCTGGTCCCACCTTGCCAATAACTGGGCAATCAAAAGCTGACTAACCCCTCCCCACTTCCTTCTGGGTCTCATCCGCTCATCCTGCCAGAGCTGGTGGTATCTCTGCAAATTCATAAGCTAGAGAGTGTGGGCGGTGGTACAAGTAGTATGATGGGGACCTGTGTAGTGTCAAGATAGGCATTGAAAAATAAGTATAAAGTTCTTTCTGGGTAATTTTTAAAAGGAGTGAAAGTGGGTTTAAATATCAGGAAAGATCAATTTACCAAAATTGACAATATCTATAGTAAGAAAATTACATATAGTATATCATTTGGGGGGATCTAGTTACCTATATTTTGGTTTCTGAAATGACCTCCAACTTGAGTTAGAGCTTCAGACATATGAAATACCATTACATGAAGCTGTTTCACTAACCAAAGAGGAAGAAAATACATCACATTTGGACTCAGGGCTCTTCTCCTTCCCAACACACATCTCTCTTCGTGCTCAGGAATAAGACCTTGATTTTTAACTGGTTATATGGCAGTTCAGCTACAATGTCCCAGTTTTCAGCCTCCCTCGCAGTTGGAGCTAGATGTGGACATGTGACAAAGCTCTGGCCAATAACATGTAAGCAGAACATTATGTGGGAGTTCTGGGAAAATCTTTTTGAAGGAGGGCCTGCCCTTTTTCTCTTCCTCGCTTGGTATATTAATGTGATGGATGGAGCCGCCATCTTGCTTCATAAAGATGAGGTCACCTTCCAGGGAGCTTCCAGTGGCTCAGGGACTCTGGGGAGCCCCCGAGAGCATCACTGTGTATTGTCGGTGATAATGTGCTCCCCCACCTAACTCTACCAGCAGCAAGAACAGCACACACGTGCTGGCAGTCCTGTTCACTTGGCACTCTCCCGTGCATCACCCCATGGGGTCTTCACCTTTCACCCCACAGCTCCGCGGTCTGCAGGGAAGCCAAGAATCCCAGTTCGCTGAGGCGCAGGTCCTTTCCCCCAGGATCACAGTTGGTGACCGGGACCCAGGACCTGAATGGAGGCTGTCAAACTCTAAGTCCACCAGTTTGCTCGTCTTTCTGAGGCTTTGGTCTGCTCTTTAACCAATGGCTTCCACAGCCACACCTGAGACAGAGGAACGGGTTCACCCCAAGTCTCCACAGGGCACCGGGGTGTGATGGCTGAGCCCGCCTTCCCGCATTGTTGGCAGACAAGCTCAGCCAGGACAAGAGGTGCCTGTTCCCTTTCTTTCTCCTCTACCTGACCTGGCTACCTGAATGGCACTCCCGTGAGTCTGCCATTCTCTGTCAGGGAACCTCTGTTTCCTCCCAACCAAACGATGACCACTCTGTCCTGAACGAGCCTCTTGCCCTCCAGGTACAGGGGATACACAATGTTGCTCATGCTTGAGTGGTGACAATGGGTAGTGCCAACTTCTTTCACCACGTGAACCGTTCTCTTTGTTAAAGGCGAAGAAACAAATGCAACTGAACTTTACCAAACACATACTCTTGG